ACTTGAACATTGGTCTACACTCTTGATATTGTTTTCCTCAAGTGTTACATCAATTATTTCTCTTGTAATATGTGAAACAAAATATCCTATCGTTAAATGCAAATGCTTTTCATTCTTATAATAAAATTATTTCAAACAATTTTCATTTCAAAATATATGTCTAAAAAATATTTGAAAACGAACAAACATCTATGCTGACATTTAAGGAGATTCAAAAAGGTTTTCATATACGTAAATGTTCAAGAGAAACCACAACAAATCCTGTATCTGCAAATATCGCATTATTTCCAACACCCACACTCAATCGAAACAAAGACTATACTAACAATAGTTTGACGAAAGATTTGAATAGAAGCAAAATAAATTAGACTCCTGCTATGTCAATCATATTGTATTCATTTTCGAATAAAAAGTATTGAAATAATTTTTTTAATGAAAACTAAATCGTATGAACAAGAAGATTCTTATATATGTTCAACAATTTGTATAAAAGACAAAAAAATAATTCGTTATATATTCATCCTACAATCAATAATTCCGGTGCAAGTTACTTGTAATCGTGTAAAACTAACTCAACGAATTCAATGAAAAATGCACAATCGTGGAGTACTATGATCAACTACTAAATTCATGTTTATTTTTCACTTGGATTTGTTGTTATCATCTCTCAAGTTGACATCTATGGAAAATAGTACTGCACTCTGAGTGTATAATATAACTTCACAGACAGTGAACCTTTAGGTACCTACAGGAATATATGTATTTCATGGATCAATATGAAAACATTCATGAGATTTTAATTAAACTGAAGAGATTTTATTAAAAATATCTTTTACAATTTAAGATTTTCAATACCCAAAACAATACTGTTGTTTCTTGTATTTCCTCCATTCCAATAATTCAATTGATATCAACAACTAACATATTTAACAAGATAATCTCAACAAATGATTTACTGATAAATTTCGAAGAAAAAACTTACCATTGAACGTCAAAAGCACGGCATTCTTCTTATCTTTACCCATTACTTCAAATTAAACTCAAATTATGTATATTTTGATACTGGTGTCTTAAATGCAGTCAGCTATGGAAAACGACTGACAGAATCTAGAAATATTATTCCTTTAACACTATAGCTGTATATTTAAAATGAAGTAAATGAATAAATTTTTTGTCTATAGAGAGATCTCAAAAATAAAAGAAGAAATAATACATACTGCATTATCAGCTCTATACTTTGCGAGGAATTCAGGGTTCTGAAGCATTTACCTCCGTATGCTTTTTTTTAATCATATTCATTAGTATTTCTTAGAATTTGTCAATTTAATTAAATACATGTCATTGATAATTTTTTGTGGTTATTTTACAAAAAAATATTCCGATATCTACAGAACATGCTTAATATCGAAAACATTCTTAATTTTATGCAATTATCATTCATACTGAGATCAAGAGAATTGTCTTATCCTAAAAACACTTTTTGCAGATATTACGAAGCTTTTTCCTCCACAACAACAAAAATGATTGATATAGAAGAATGAAACAAAGTTTCATGAGTCTAAATGTTTTAATATCTGAAAGATATTTCAACTGAAAGTGAATTCTCATAGACAAAGATGATCTTTTAGATTTTCATATTGAGTTCAATCAATTATTTTTTCTAATGCAACGAGAAGTTTCTATTAAAAAATCTCGAGTTTTCATATCAAGATCAACAACATGAAACACTATCTTTCGATTCATTGATAAAGCTTTCACTTGAACGATTATCAACATAAACTTTCAAAACAATTTCATGAAGTATATTTGAAAATCTCTTTCTGTATTTCTTCCTACAAAAAATTTCAAAATCCTTATATAAAGAAGAAGACAATAAATAAAAATTCTTTTCTATAGTTACTATTAGCATCTTTTTTCTTTTGAAGTTTGAATCGAAAAACAATCACGAACTGAAAATTTTAATTTATGTGAATAACCAATTGGTTTTTTCTTCAATTTTATTGTCTTCCTTTTCTGTTTATACAGACAGCAATTATCTTCTCAAACAACGTTTCTTCTTCCTACCATTCAGTAACAAGCACACGACATATCAATCGTCTTTATACATTACACTTCAACAATGAGAGAAATGAACGTAACTGTCGATCACATATCGTTTTAAAAATGAATTTAATCAAACAGATATGTGTACAGACGATCAATATGTCGTCTCCTGATATACGTATAATATGTTGTTTTCAACACTTCAACTCTATCATAATTGAAACATGTATAACTTAATAAAAACAGTCCCGTGTGTTGTCAGAATAGTCATGTATTGATTATGGAATTGATAAAAATAATCTGAAAAGTACATATCCTAATAATAACTATTTTCAATTATTAACCTATCGGTTCATCATCGATGGAGTTTTATCTGAATACTTGAAGCTATATTCATTCTAATGATAAACGTATGCTAGCTAAAATTAAAGTGTGCTTATTGAGATTCATCAACAATTGATGGTTTGAGATTGTAAAAGAAATTCAATTTAATCATCATGCTTCGTATGCATATTGTTTCCGAAAAATTTGTATGATTATTTCTATCAATATTTATGAAACTCCTACATTTTAAATGTTAACTTGAGTACTATCTGAGTGTAATCTATTACATAAGGAAGATTTGTTTTGTTTTGGTTCGATTGAAATTTCTTTCATTGAGTGAAGTATTTTAGAAAAAATGACGTCATTTAATCCATCATATATAAGATGATCGTAAATAAAAATCACTAATTCTAGAGACGCATTTTTTCAAAGAAGAACGATTGTTGTTGGGGCTAAATTGTCGTTTTTTATATTTTTCAATTGATCAATAAATATCCATGGGAAACATAGTGATAGAAAGAGTTGTTTAAAAATTTCAAAAGCAAGAACCGATTATAGACGCAAACAAAATTTTCTCTTTTTTTGAAATACTATTTTTGAAAAAGAATCATTATTGATGTTGATGTAAATATGTATCTGCTATCATCATGAGTATATTTTTAAAAAAGCAAATGGTGATTTAAATCTATATTCAATTCTATAAAAGCTATCCACATATTTGATCTTGTTTCGACTATGTTCACCATACTCAGAGAAAAACAAAGTCATGATGAATTTATTCATTGTATTAGTTCTTTTACTGAGAGAACATTTTTTTTTTGGTTTTCTGTTTCGTTCTTTTAGAATGTCATAATTCAAGCAAATTCGTTTTCGAGAAGAGATTTTAAAAACAGAACGCCACAACATGAGAAGAAAGAAAAAAAATTGAAAAAAACTGTCATCAAAACAACAAAAAGATGTGCTTATTGAAGAAAAAAACAATAGCATGCATTCTTTTTTTCTTTCGTTTGTCATCTATTTTTCAAGGATATTTTATATTCTTGACATACGAAATTTTTTTTATCAGAGACGAAAGCAAACCAAACAAAACCTCAAAGAACATAAGGTTTAAGTTTTGACAAATACGTTTCTAGATACTGTATATAAATCGTCATAGAAAATCAATGTCTTTATTTCATTTTAGGTTTATCTGACTGAAACAGATACAAAATAAAAATTTAATTTTTAATCCAGAAGATAATATGGCATTATGTCTTTGTTGAAGTTAAGTAAAAAGTTGGAATTTATTCAACGAAAAGAAAATCATTTTATCAATTTTCTGTCGTTTACTTGGAAAAAAAATAGTTATATTATTATCATCGTTGAAGAATCTAATTTTTCAGTGTAATCTCAATAACTTGACAACAGCAATTGCCAGTTGCTTGTGTCTTTCACAACTATTGAACAAAGAGAACTCTATTACAAGTCCTTTCATCTCATACTATTAAAGAGAAAATTATTTTAAAATCTATACTCCTTGTAGAACATTCAAAAACATATATGAAAACGTTATTTATTTTCAAGTAAATTTTGATAAAGAGAAAATAGTGAGAAACTAATCATCTGAACCGTACCTAGAACTGTGAAATTAAAGCAGATATTAAAAATCAAACCTACATCAAAGTAGAACATCGTTAGGTTTTTTTTGAAATGTTTTACGAAAACGATTTGTTTTAGAAATCATCTTACAGTACAAAGTGTCAGATGAGTTATTGAAAATACAGAAATGTCTCCTTTTTCTTGGCCAGAAATTAGCTATTAGGTGTAACTCAAAAACGTAAACCATATCGTTGATTATGATCATCAGAAGTCAAGAATGAATTTTACAGGGTGTGGGTGTGATAAAGAATAAAATTATGTTTAATTCTTAACCTTCAAATTTTATAAACAAACAATGGTTTTTAATGTTTTATTTTATAAAAATCAATCAAAACACAACGATCAACATTGATGCTAATATCATCCAAAGATAATATTTAGAGAGAAAATGAAAGTTTTTTTCTTGAATTACTTAAATTATCAATGTCAAATATATCTTAATCAAATGATCATTTAATTTTTTAATTCAAATTTTATTTTAGAAGTGAAATTAACATCTTATTGTGAATATAGCAAATAACTATTAAAAATTAAACTCGATCAAAACCATATTTGTAATATTCAATTGTAAGCTTCAAAAAAAAATATGTTAATGTTAATCAAAATAACATGTGAAAAAATGATTTCATAATCCTAAAGAGAAGTAGCAACAACATCGAATTATTGATCATTTTCAATAAAAAAAATATTTTGTTCATGAGTTTGTTGACGTTAAGGAGCAATTTTTTTTTCAAATAAAAATTCAATTATTCGCATAAAATATCTATGAAATTTAGTAATTAGATTTTCCTTATCTAATAAAAGTTTTTTTAAAGTTTAAATAATTCAAGAATTGTTTCATGAAAATATAAAGAAAAATATTTATACTTTTTATTTTCTTATCGCATATTAATATTAAAGCTCATTTAATAACAGAAAGTCTGATAAGTATCTTTCGAATAACTTTTGTTCTTTTAGAACATCAATGTTAATATAACCATCACATATCATCATAAAGTATAAAAAAGAATATATTTAAAACTTTCCTTTTTTTTCTATTCTTTATCTCTATTTCAAGATATGCAGTGAATGAGTTATTACTCAAATTGACGGCGAATGTATTGTTTTTATCCACCGTTTCATTCAATCATCGTTTGTTTGCTACAATGGTGAGTGCACGACATTCAAGTTATTCTTACACATTCGAGATGAAAACACAGACGAATTGAACATGAAATGTTTAAAGACGACAAAGATATCGTGCACTCAATATTCCATTGCTTGACAAACACCGGTTGTTATCATGCGCTGCGTATTCTCATTCCGTTAAGTCGTCTTTTATCGCGTCTTTCCGTTTCTACTTCTTCTCGTTCTTCCTAACAGAAGAATAAAAATAATTTTCTAACTAATGGAGCTTTTGAGGGTGGCTCTAAAACAATTGAACCTTCCCAGGGATATCCGACGTTCTGTTGGTGACCCGTGCAGGCGTGCAGATGGTAGGCCTTCACAACATACATCAATGTATGTATGAATAGAAGCGTCCATTTCGTCATCGTCTTTTCGAAGATGATGATCATGGTCGTACTATTCATACGTACATCGATGTATGTTTGCCTAACCATTGCCGGCTTTGTCCACTGTACGAGGCAGCAGAATACGGAGGGTATCTCTGGTCGCGCGTGCGCGAAATTTTGCAACTGCTTGCTTCGGCGAGCTTAGATTTCAAGATGGCCAGTTTATTTTCTTGTTTAGAAAAAAAAACAATTACATTTTCTTTTTCACTCGATCAATGTTATTTTTTGACTTTGTAATCTTTGGATGCTGTGGTGGGAGAGACTTTTCACGTATATCACGTGCTTTTTGTAGAAACGACAGTGCTTTTGGGTAGTCACCCGTGGCTTCATGAACCAAACCAATGTTTTCGTAAGTATCAGCTAAATCGGGATGATTGGGAGGAAGAGCTTTCTTGGTAATCTCAAGATCTTTTTCATAATATGAAAGTGCTTTTGAGTACTCGCCCATATTATAATACACCAACCCGATGTTGTTGTAAGATTGAGCGAAGTCGGGATGATTCGGAGGGAGAGCTATTTTCCAGATTTCAAGTGC